ATAATCAGTTCTATAGCCAAGAAATACCAAAGCAGCCAATAGAAAATGTGACCAGTCCATATTTATTGGGATCAGATCATGTGTGTAGCACTTGTCTATTATGAGGCCAAGATTTGAGGTATCATTTGCTAATATTTTTGCTGGTTGATGAGCATATTTTAAAGCTTCCAGGCTTTGGCTAGACATTTTTGAATGCTGTCTGTTCTGTCATTAAAACAAAGGAAATTGCTTTGTAATCTCCTTATTTGAAGGTGATGTTGAGGGAGAATATCGTGACAAACAACATCCATAATTTGGGACCTATTACCGATGATGATTCTTATGAGAAGTCCATCATTTGTGACTGTACATGTGGCTGTTCCGCCTGGATGTCTAACCAAGGTTTTCTTCCCTCTGGCTGTAATTTGGATTGTTAGAGAGAGAGTGAGAGGCTGAGGATAGCGTGCTCTTTTTTTTAAATAAGACCTGGGTATTTTGCACTGATATATATATCTATATATCTATATATAGATATATATATATTTTTTAAAGAAACCCTTTATTAAATGTAGAGATATATTTGACACTTGTTCTGTAAAAATTATAAAAATGCTTAAAACTGTTCTAGAGCTTTTAAAAGGCAGCATCATTTAAAAAAAAAAGTATAACGTTTTATCCCATCATGTTCAAAAACATGAAGACAAGAATCAGTTTTTTTTAAATAAATTGAATTTTTTCTTAATCTGCAGTTAGTCACATTTTTGTTTCTCCAAAGCTCATTAATAAATGCCCACTGTTCTCTCCTTAGATTCCTGCATAATGACATTAAAGGAAAATGAAAGCAAATAGAGGCATGTCTTAGAAATCCATTTTTTAAATCAACTTATTGTTGTTGTGCTGTGTGCTATGTTAAAATGAGCCCTAGTTGAGCAGGAAAGCAGGGGAAGCCTGGCCAGGTCTGCAAATGGGGCTCCTGCATAGTTCTCGTTTGCCCCTGCATTTCATATCGGTTATTAAATGAGGTTTAAGATCTGCGGATGTTTGTGGAGGGTTGTTTTGTCTCCAGTACAAGTCGGGGAGCGGTTCAGGATAAGAGCTCCTGCTTCAATGAAGACTGTCACGGCTGTTTGGAATGGAGCTCTAGCCTTGCCCCAGCTGCACTGACGGATGCAGATACTGTGGGCAGAGGGAATACACAATTGGCAGCTGTTTCCGAAGGCCAGGAATGAAAGATTTATTAGTGACTGCAATAGTGACATATCTGTTAAAATGAGATTTATATCACCACAATAGACTTAAGGCAGCAGTGTTTTAGAAAAGGAAATTTGCATGCCTGACTTCTTCCTTATGTTATGGAGGAAACCATCTCCCCCACCCCAAACCTATCAAATGAAATCTCAAAGTTTTCAAAATCTCTGTCCTAATTAGATTATCCTGATATCATTTTCCTTCTGTCTCAATTTATAGGAATTGAAAAAATAATATTGAGTAATATATCCATTTCAAAAATATTTGAACCTGTATACATTTGCAGCAAGTTAACATTTAATTTGTTGGAATTTATTTTTGAATTTTAAAGATGTACAACTGTTTTTTACCATTTCTTTAAGAGAAATGATAAGAGTTTTTTTTTTTTAACCAACTCACTTGATTTGATAGATGTATATGAACTCAAATGGAATAGACTTACTTGGATTTTTCCCGAGTTGTTTTGTGCAGTATAACTACTTATACTTGAAAGCATTTAAAATGCTGTATGGGGGGATTTTAGGTTTGGAAGACAGTCTCTTTGAATCTAGATCATGGAATCTTGAAGATTCTGCCCCTGACTCCCTTTTGGGGTCTTCGAGTATGTGCTTTGAGATAAATATGAGGTTTTCTGGGTATTTTGGCTATCACCTTCTATCATGGTATCAGTCTTTTGTTATACATTTTAAAATAGAGATTAAATGGTTTAAATGATGTTAACTTATAAAGTTGATATTTTTAACATCTGCTTTAAAGAAAAATGAGGCTAATCACACCTCAGATACCAGAGAGAGTGAGCTTGTATTTAAAAAGGGGAGGGGAATAGGCATGTATGCATACAAGTGTGTGTATGTATATTTTTTAATTTTATGTGTATATGTATCTGTGTGCATACATACACACATATACACACAGCATACACATATACATATGTGTATATATATTTATATATGTGTGTATGTATGTGAAAATGAAAAGAAAAAAAACCCCTGCAATTTCCCCAGTGTATGGAATTCCTTATGTAGAAATTCTGTGCCAAAGCACATTTGTGACGCCTCTGTAACTTATGGCACTAGAGTTGCCATTTGGCTAAGGTCACAGGGTCAGGACATGGCAGTTGCAAGATTTGAACTCATACCCCATGGCACCTCTCATGTATTCTGTGAGTATGTGCACATAACATTTGTTTATATATAATTTTTATTCCCTTATTTCAATGCAAATTGATTTTGATTTGCTTCTGGTATCAGATATGAGAACATTATTCAGACTATTTCTCTATGGTCCTGTCAGTGGCAAAACACCTGAATCATGGGATGGCAGAACCATTCACTTTGCCTCTGCCAATGTACCCAATTGATATGATGTATTTTAGCCAAAATCAATCATGTTACAATCTGGATGCATTGTTAAATAGGCCCAAATGACCAGTTCTGCCAGACCTTAGTTCCCTTGTTATGCTTTGTATCTCTTCTCATTGTTAGGGCTGTCTGACTTTACCATATCAATGTTATGGTTGTGCTAAGTTAAAAAGGGTCCACCAGAACCCCTCTCTCTTTCTCTTTCTTTCTTTCTTTTCCTTCCTTCCTTCCTTTCCTCTTTCCTTCTTTTTTCTTTCCTTCCTTCTTTCCTTTTCCTTCCTTCCTTCCTTTCTCTTCTTGTTTCCTTCCTTTCTGTTCTTCCTTCCTTCCTTCCTTCTTTCTTTCTTTCTTTCTTTCTTTCTTCCTTTCTTTCTTCCTTTCTTTCTTTCTTTCTTTCTTTCTTTCTTTCTTTCTTTCTTTCTTTCTTTCTTTCTCTTTCTTTCTTTCTTTCTTTCTTTCTCACTGAGGTGAAATCATCATTTAAGTAAAATAACTTTCCATGGACAAATTTGTTGATAGTATCAGGGTATCTTTTATTCATTCAAATAATTATATGTTGACTGAATACTTAAAGTGGTCTTTCTGAGATTCCTAGTCTCTTTTTGGAGATAGGTCAGTAGTGCTAATGCTCATATTTCACAAAAAACATTAGATTACCCCTTTTCTTTGTACTTTGGAATTATGAAGTCTTCTAATCTGGAATTTCATTCTGCCAAGTATGAAACTTGATTTTTTTCAAAAGTGATAACTGCAAAAATATTTATCTTAAATTTAGTACCCTTTGCCATCTTTTCAATATAAATTTGCCCATTTTCTTTCTGGTCTGGGCCAGGTTTAACTCAGGCCAGTCCCATGCTTTCAGGCTTGGGTTTGGAACACAATGAGACATTTGTAGGTGATAAAATATTTAACAAAGAGAAGCTCACTTAACCATAAAAAGTATTAATAAGGATACAACATTGATTTTGGTGAATTAGACTCTCTCCTGCCCCCACACTTGCCACAGTGGCTATGCTGGATATGAAAGACATCCCATAAGGCAGTGGAATTTCTGCTGAACATCAGGGCCGCTAACTCCCCGTCGGCTGGGCTTTTTATCCCTCACAAGGAAGCCATGCCAGTGGCTTGAGCCTTAGTCTCATGTACCAACCAAATCCTGAGGATGGCCTCCTAGTCCTCTTAAAGGGAAACAAGCCCAGCCTCTATAAAATAGATGCCATTCCTACCAGCTCCTACCACTTGGTGGCAAGGGCCCCCAAATCTTCTAAATGGCTAGAAGACCATTACTGAGCAGCTGACTTTGGGGATGTGAGAAGCTTGGCATAGGCAGCTCTGAAGGAGCAGCTCAGTTCAAGTAAAGTCCTTGGAAAGAGTGCAATTCTGGCATTGGGGGTGGTATCAGGGCCTGTGTAGAGTGGGCTTCCCATCGCAGAGCAGAAGTGGTGAACGGGAGGACACCAGTGTGTCTGGCCATTCCAACCACTCTGCCATTTTTGTGAATCCTCCAACTGAGCTGTTTGCTTCTAGTTGGATTTGTGGTTGAAAATGCTAGTCATGGTTATCGCTTAACTTCCTTTTACAGAGTTAATGTCTGAGGAACTTGAACTGTGTCCCTCAGTCCCTATTCAAGTAAAAGCCCAGCCGAGGTTTTTGGAATTGCTTATTTCATCAGGATGAATGTGTGGGATGTTAAAGAGTGGGCTTGGATACCATTTTTGTTTGTCTTCATCCAATATATAGTAATCTTTCATGACATATAAAATAATTACGTAGAAAACTAGAGTAGTAAAAGTGACATGTCTTTTTTTGTGGGTTTTACCTTTAAAAAATGAGTGTTTTTTACAGTTTGATTTAAGTAAATATTTAAGATTTAAATCCAAAGGCCACTTCTTAAATTACTTACTGGAATTTCAAAAGCAGCATTCATGTTTAAAAATTGAACATCTCAATATTAACTATATGCTTGTCATAATAAAGAGAAAAAATTCTGTCTCTAAAATTATTCTATTCCTTAGTATTCACTTGGATTATAACTGAATTTTAAAAATATTTAATGCTCACCTTTACTTTCATGTCTTTTATTACTTTACATTAGAATTATGAACCCTCTTAGAGTAAGCTTTCAAAACTATTCAGTCTAAAATAATACTAATCTCTTATTTGACTGGATATTCTGAGTGGGTAATCTCAAAACATCTTGGTTTTTTTTTAAGATGGTGATAGTGTTGTTGTGTTTCCATTTCTAATCAGATATTATTTCTAAACTATATAACAAGTAGTACTAGGTATTTACTAATTTACTAAACACTTAACTAATTTTGTGAAAAGCTTCTTGTTGCTAATATTGTTGCTATTTGTTTTTTGTTTTTTTTTCTTACACCATAATCACTCTCTGTTGACAACTGTATGCAGATAGTTGGAAGTAAAGTTATGGTGAGTACAAATAATATATTGTTCTCCCCCCTCACCTGCCCCAGAATTATATTTGTATTTTCGAGAATTGAGCATATAAAAAGTGTGTGTGTGTGTATCATATATATACATATATAAACATATAATATATAGTTGATTATAGTGTTTGATTTGCTTAGATCTTTTTTTTTTGCTTGTTTCTCACCAAAGTAATGAAAGAAACATTGAGAGGAAGTGTTTTTCCATGTGCAGTTTTGAATCTCATTAAACTCTTTATTATTTAAATACTTTAAAAAATAGAATATGATTCTGCTGTCCTGGTTTTAACTAAGTTGAATTCACATTTTCAAAGATGAGTGTAACCTTGTCAGTCCTGCGGATCCCCCTGACAATGTGTTTCACAGCATGGGGTTATTGAGCTGCTTCAGCTCTTCCCTGTGTTCCACTGGTGCTCATAGACACACCTTACTCAAGAGCTCTGCTTGTGGGAGTGGGGTGAGGGGGTTGCCCTTTGATTTATTCACCATGCTTAGTTGAGTACTATTGTGCAGTCAGAATTAGGGTAGACAAGCTACTCCAAGACTCTGATTCTCTTCCTGGCTATGGCATTAATTATTTTTGTGACTCCATTCTCTGGCTCAGTTTTCTTATTTATGAAATGAAGGGTCAACAGTATAAGGTCGGAATATTGCTGTGGGGTAGGAAATGATGAATTGGTGGATTTAGAAAAACAGCGACAGGCATGGACTTATGAAGGAAGATGCTTTCCACCCTCAGAGAAACAGAGAACAAATAAGTATAATATGGTGTTTCATAAATGCATATAAATGTGTATGTCTATATATGAGTATGATGATAAATATCTATTATACCTATATGTATGTAAGTATATGGATGTGTATGTGTATATATATTTGTGTACATACACACATACATATATAACTTACCTCTCAGAGCTTAATTGTAGCCTTCTTTAGAGGGAGAGGAAGGGGAAAAAAAGAACAAAGTAAAAAGTGCACAGCAGAGAACAAAATAAAATCTACAAGGAAATAAAGAAAAGATGGACAGCTCTGAATACAACGTGTAGTATTTATTGTATAGGCTTTCTTGAAATGGAAATTTATTGCTTTGTATTTTGAATCCTCTCTTATGTTCTGCTGTGTACATGGCAGTGGTTTTTTTCTTATTTTGTATTTAACTTTAAGTATTTAAGTTTGCTTCTTTTTTCTTTTCTTCTTTTGTATTTAAATTTAAAATAAAAAAAATTACCAAAAACAGTAAAATGAAGGGTTGGGATAAGATGCTTTTTAAGGTCCCTTCCAGCTTGAACAGTCAGAAGTTTTTAAGTGCAACTTTCTAATGCAGTGGTTATTTACCACTGTGTACCATGCCAAGAGTCATCCATATTGGTATTAAGAGCCAATCATAAAGACTTTTACTTTCCTAATTTGACCTGATAGTATACATATTACTTCTATTCCACAGAAGGTACGGAGAACTTAGTGAAGCATCAGTGAAGGATAGTACTTGACAAAATAGGATGGTAGGAAGACCCATCCTCCATTTTAAGGCACTTGACTAATGCACAAATTTGAGTCAGATACTGGTGAAAAGTAATAAAAATAGCGGGAATATATAGAACCTTTGACATACTTTTCTGTTTAATCCTCCCAAAATCTCTGTAAGGTTCTTACTATAAATATCACCCACCCCCATTTTATAGATGAGAAAATGGAGACTCAGTAAAGTCAGATAACTTGCCACTAAACACATAAAGTTTGGTGAGTAATGGAGTGATTTGGACTCAGGTCTTGCCTGACTTATAGTTTTGTGCTCTCTCTGTTATATCTTAAGTGTCCTTATCACGGGAACTTCGTACAGAATGATTTGTATATCTTTGTATATCCAGTAGCTAAGGAAGCAGGACAGGGGATGCTCCTTAACACCATCTATGCCACCACCTACCAATGCTGGGCTTGGTCAGACCACTGGCTTTTCCAATTTATTCTTTGGGTCTTCTCTCAGTTCTGGCTTTGGTCTTTTCCCGTCCTCCAGGAAGGATGAGCATGTGGAAAAAATCCTGACAGTGGAGTCACAGGATCCGCGTTCAGATCCTGGCTCTCTGAGACCTTGGGCAAGTCATTCATCCTCTCTAGGCCTGTTTTCTTATCTGTAAAATGAGGGGCTTGGATTAGCTGATCTCTAAGGTTCTTTCCGGAATCTGATCTATGATTTTAGGATCACTTTGATATCAATATGTTAGTGATATGCTACAAAGATGTCTCAGGTGCTGTTGGGTGGGGCAGGGCAGGGCTGGGAAGTCTTGTATCTCTGGCTTTTTTTTTCTAAACTCTTACTGAACTCACCCATGGTGCGTCTCACTAATTAGGAAGGCTCAATGAGTTTGGCAGTTGAGTATTCCCTTAGAGCAGTGGAAGGGGTTTCAGTCTTGTGCAACTCATCATTACCCCATTTGGGTTCTTTTTTGGCAAAGATTCTAAAGTGGTTTGCCATTTCCTTCTCTAGCTCATTTTACAGATGAAGAAACTGAGGCAGAGAGGGTTAAGTGACTTGCCCAGGGTCATACAGGTAATAAGTGTCTGAGGCCAGATTTGAACTCCGGTCCACCTGATTCCAGGCCCAGCACACTAGTCACTGTAGCACCACCCAGTTTTGCTCCTTGGAACCAGAGGCCCTAGATTTCCATCCTAGCTCTGCTGCTCACTTCATGCGCCACCTTGGCCAAGTTATTTAACCTTTCTGGTTCTCCTTCCTGGATCTGTACAGGGATGGGGTTAGACTAGGGCGTGTCATAGGGCTTTTCTGGCTCTAAGTCTATGATCTTGTGGTCCTTTGGTTGCTCTTCCTCCTGTGGCCACTTGAGTTTTCTCCTGAGGATCTGCTGCCCAGGACTCTTTCTCTTCCCTCTTCTAGTGCTGCTGCTGGAGCTGCTGAGAAACCTGCTGTCCTCAGCCTTTTCTCCCCCTCTGCCTTCCTTTGGAGGTGGGAGATAAGAGTTTAAAGTGGTTTTAATTTGCATCTCTTCTATTCTTAGTGATTTGGAGCATTCTTTGACATGGCCTCTGGTTATTTGTCATGTTTGATGGCTATTAGTACAGTACCCAAACTGTCGGTCAGTTCCATTATATATCATGAGCTTTTGGAGTCTCAGAAACTGACTGCCATTTATAATATTGATCATGGCTTCCTATGAGTACAAGCTTCACATAGTGAGCTTATATGTGATGTTTCAGAACACAACACTTCCCTAAGTCTGTGACTGCTTGCATTCCTAAATGTTCTCTGGTGTTGAAACAAAATCCCCATAGGGTTAGGTATGGCTATCTGGCCTCAGGCTGGAATATCAAATGTACATTCATTTAGCTGTGGCTTAGCCCTCTTTGAATATGATAGTCCATTGGAAAACCAAATGCTGATATGTTTTACATCTCAAGAACTCTACTAGTTTTACTACCTAGAGCACCTGAATTGTTTTTTGTTTCTTTATCCCCCAAATAAATGAAATATGTTTTGAATGTAAAAAAAATCTATAAATTCAGTTTGTATAAAATTTAATTAAACTTGCTAATAGTAAACCATACTAAGTCATAATTTATATAAATTCTGACAATTTTTTTTACAACCTTATTATTTGGAAGATAAGATAAATCAAAATGTGTTGTCTAGATCTGATATGAATATATGCAGTGGAAAAATGTATAGTCAGAACTTTTTCTAAGACACCCCCCAACATCCCTCCAAACACCCTAGAACACCTAATTTACATTTAATTTGATGGATTCTGAAGGGCCTGGAGTCAGGAAGACCTGAGTTCAGATTTAGCCTTTCACACTTACTAAGCTGTGTGACCTTCTTGGGCAAATCACTTAACCTCTGTCTGCCTCAGTTTCCTGATCTTTTAAATCGGAGTAATAATAGCACCTACCTCCTAGAGTTGTTGTGAGGACAAAATGAAATACAGTATGTATAAAGTGCTTTGCAAACATTATTGTTGTTGTTATTATTGTTTTTTGCTTGGCAGTTGGGGTTAAGTGACTTGCCCAGGGTCACACAGCTAGTAAGTGTAATATGTCTGAGGTCACATTTGAACTCGTATCCTCCTGACCCCAGGGCTGGTAGTCTATCCACTGCGCCACCTAGCTGCCCCTAACATATTATTATTATCATTACAATTTGTTGTCCCCTCTAGGTATGTTCAAAGAATGTTTGGATTCATTTTTATCAGTCATTGCTTGGGTCATGTGTGATCAGCCCCGGATTTGGCAATTAAGAAATTCTTGAAAATTTTGGAGGGAGCAGTTTCAGTTCATTAATGATATCAGAAGCCACATTGAGATTTCAGAAACATCTTGGACTCTTTGCCATCCAACCTGTTGCCCCTTGTACAGATTCTGCCTTGGCACTGCATGTCACGGTCATTCCTCTATTTCCTCTCCCACTGCTGCCACTCTGCTGCAGTTGTTTTTTTACTCAGAGTAAGTAAAAAAAAAAAAATGTGTTTAGTACCATGGTCAGTTCCTTACATCCTCCACTCCCAAAATAGTCAGCCATTGTAACAAAACAAAACACTAAACTGACAGTTAAGCAAAATTGACCAACAAAGTATAAATCAGTGATAACACATACACCACTTCAATCCCATGGTCACCCCCCTCTTTAATGGGAGGGGAGTTGATGTTTCTTCATCCACTTTCTTAAGGTGCATGTTGGTCATTGCAGTTAATGTGAGTCGGGCTGCCTTTTAATGATGTCTCTTGTTTTATTTATTGTGTATCTCATTCTCCTGATTCTTCTTTTCTTCATGTTGGATGAATGCAATTAAGTCTCCTCTTATCTCTCTGTCTTCCTCGATTTGTCCTTTCTTATGACACAGTAATATTCCATTTAATTCTCAATTTGTTTAGCTCTTTCCTTATTGATGAGCACCCGTTTGGTTTCCATTTTTTCTGCTACCATAAAAATCATCACTATAAATATTTTGGTATATATGGGGTGTTTAT